TGCTTTTCTGGCCAAGAACGTTTTCTCATTTTTAGTGAAGTTCTTTTCTTTTTTTCCTTATGTAGTGATTTTGGTTTTCCTTTGTTCTCCCTATTTGGTATGCACATGAAAGCGGATGATCTGCCGTTCTCTGGGAGCAAATCCAGATGACCTAAAGGACCCAATTAAAATTAGTATTCCACGCTATGTCCTGTGTGGGCAGGGAAAGGATGAACACTATGAGTTTGAAATAAAGGTGAGTGCTTTTCAGTCGCTTCTCCTTAATGTTTGGGGTCTCTGTACACATGTTGCTTGCATTTGTACAACAGTAGCATCATAGTAGCAATAATAATAGAAAAAATGCCTTTTGTTTAACAACAAAGAGTTCCTAGTTTGCTCTGTCCAGCTGTCGGTGTTCACTGTGACAGCATCACAGTCAGCAAAGATGGAAACAGCGGCTGGAAACACACCTGAGAATCTGCAGATTCCAGGAATCACCTCACTAACTCCACTGAAATGTAGTTCTTGTTCCACTAAGTGTGATTTTTGGTTCTGTCTCTTTCTGTTGTCTAAGTGGCCTCAGTAGTGGTAAAAAAGAGAGGCTGTGAGAAGGCACACACAATACAGGCTGCTACAAAGACAAGTATTTTCCAAGTGGATCAATTGTACACAAGGGTGTTGATGGTCACACTCTTGAGGTGAATAGTTCCAGATCCAGTATGAAATGATTCAGTTGAAAATGTTGCAGAGATGAGGACTAAATGCATGTTGTTATAGGAAAGGCCACACACTGAGGTGTGAGTGTCAGGTATAGGAAATGATTAGGCTTGAAATACTTACCTGTAGTAATGAAAGCGTAATGGAAGTATTTTGCATGTACCCACAACAAAGGCTTGATTCCTTCCAGGCTCTCTTTGTTGTTCTGATTCTTCCCACCCTGCTATTCCAAGGTCTCTTTTCTCCAAACTCTTACCTGCTTCCTCTCCATTCTACTAGCTTCCTCAGTTGATCTTCTGTGCAGAAATACTGGAAAAAAAAATGCATATTCATTATGTTTCCTCTGGTACTAAGC